CTTACTCAGGTATTCGCAGGTTTTCCAAATCTGCAGGTATCTTCCCGGCAGGTATCTCTGTCTGAAAAACACTTGATATACCTGGGAGACAATAACACCTTGCGATGTCAACACCCTTCGAGAAAACTCCCGCATCAACGTCTGAATCAATCTTAGATCCATCAGTAGATAATGCAATGTTGAATTCCTGCAATAGTTTGTTAGTTTCCCACTCCTTTCCGGCTGGAATTCCGATTTGAAAGTTCTTGCCAAGGTATCAGATAATCTGATGGTCCAGCAATGATATCCTTCGGTAAGTTTCCGACAATATACTGCTGTGACCACACGACTGGACCATCCGTCAAGCAACCAGTTTCTCTGAGCTTGAGTTTTTATACTAGGGCTGGCAGTTCTGGTCTCGGGAACCGATTTTCGCGTGTACGAAGAGTACGGTCAACACGCATAGCAAAATAAGATGTACTGAATAAAGACAGAAGGCAAATATTTTCACAAGCACATGGAATCTAGCGTCAGATTAAGTGGTTATGTAATAAATACTTCGTATTTTTGCTCTCTCTGACTTACTAGACTGCCATATAGCGATTCACTCTTATACATGTAAACGCCGATCCAAGGTTTCGCTTGCCAGAAGGATATGAATATCTAATGGAAGGAGGTGATGGCAGCACGTCTAGAGCATCTGTGGGCGTCAATCTTAACGCTCGGGTAATGCACACGCATGTACTTTGTTCTTTTCCATGTTTGGAAAGATTGATTGTCTTCTCCAAAGCTCGGACCACCATACCATAGTTTCATATGTGAAGATTCGTCGTACTATGGCAGTGTATATCCATTTAGCCATACTTGATTGGAGCTCCCACTTTTTTCAATTCATCAGAATACATGACCTGGGTTTACCGTTACCATCGCTGTCATCTTCCAACTTATAAAACAAACTGTATTTCTGGCTATTAAGAATCTTTATTCTGGTGTCCATTTTTTATCATTATTTGTTGTGGTATTTACATGTTTAATAGTAGTTTCGTTCGTGTAGTGAATACCATGTTATAAATGTGTTTAATTGTAGATTCTACGGAATCTCCAACATTATTTCAATTATAAAGAATGCAAATTATATAAAATTTAAATAATGTATAGGATGTAGAAGATAAATATTCACAGTAGCTTCTACTTTTCCCTATATGTTTACATAGTGGAATTGATAGAGGATCTATTAAGCTTTTATTTTAGGAGTTTTTTCAAGTTGGAATGCGTTAGAAGATTATTGCGTTCTAATTTATTTATTCAGCTTTAGGAAGTTTGGGTACAAATGAATGGTTATTTATTAAATTTTTACTTACATTACAAACGAAATATATGAAAAGAAAACTTATAAATATTAAATTGTCTTTTGAAGGAGGGAGATCAGAAACAATAACAGCCCATAGACTGGATTTCACTGGAACACCCACCTTAAAAAAAAATCAATGTAAAAAGGTGTCTTCCAAAAAACGACCACAGTAATCCGGAAGGTTGAGCCTCATCCCTATTTTGGGGTAACTAGTAAACACGTCAATCAGACTGTTCTGCCTTTCCAAACTCCATTTCTACTGCGTCTTATATAGGACAGGGGAGACTTTTGACTTCATGACAGGAGATTGAAGAAACAGTGAACACTTGGAAGGTGTTGACGTTATAATCCTCGATACTGTAAAATTACACCTGAATTGACTAGTATCCTGATGATGTAGAATGTAGAATGAGCGGGGAGGGGGTTAATCACCGCGACCTTAAAGATCTATTGCGTCTCTCGTTCTTGAGTTAATAGAATCCGGAAGGTTGAGCCTCATCCCTATTTTGGGGTAACTGGTTAACACGTCAATCAGACTGTTCTGCCTGTCCAATCTCCATTTCCACTGCGTCTTATATAGGACAGGGGAGACTTTTTACTTCATGACAGGAGATTGAAGAAACAGTGAATACTTGGAAGGTGTTGACGTTATAATCCTCGATACTGTAAAAGTACACCTGAATTGACTAGTATCCTGATGATGTAGAATGTAGAATGAGCGGGGAGGGGGTTAATCACCGCGACCTTAAAGATCTATTGCGTCTCTCGTTCTTGAGTTATAGCTCATCATACAGTCTATAACTCATCATGCATGCGACTTTTCTGTTGTAGGGGGACAGGATATTTCCCATCATCATCTGACAACAGATGTTCTTCCTCCGAGGAGCGGACATTTACCTCCTACGAGAGTATACACCTTTTCGCGGTTTGGGTTTGGCCCTCCGTGCTCTTCACAGTTCAAGAGCTTGTCTCAGGCTGAGGTACTTGTGAAGTGGAGGGTGGAGGATCTGTCTCCGTTTTCTCTACCTCTTTAACTTGGACCTTAGACCTGATACCGGTGTTGTCCGAATCTATAATCTATAATACAGGATATATCTCTCTCTTTTGCCTTCTGCTTGTCTCCCAGTTCTGGACGGCTTTCAATCCCGGCTTTTTCTCTCCTTGCCGGAGCAGAGGTGATAGGTTCTCGCTCCATCTCTTGCCCTTTGGTGGAGATTACCAGGCTGTTTCTTGGTTCCTTTACTCTCCCCTTTTTTGAGTAGTGTTTTCGCTTTTGCTTCCTCTGGAGCAAATCCTTCGTGAAGCACTTGGAGGTATCTCCTCCTCCTGTTCCGGTGAAATCTACTCTCAGTGGGTCGTCCAGCTCGCCTGGTTGACACAGGCCGGGTAGAGGAAACACGGTAGCTTGTGTGCCACTTGTGGGGGCTGGTCTCGCGCAAGCGTCTCTCTGCAAGCTGTCTCTCTTGCAGTTTTCCTTTGTAGTGTGTGTAGTTTTCCTTCAAAGCTTTTCTTTGGTTGGTCTCTTGAAACTACCTTCTTGAAAACTTTAGGTTTCCCTCGAACTTTACAAGGGTTAGTCGGTCCACTTCTACAGAACCCCGTATGTAAAAGTAAGGGAGGCGAGAATACAATGGGGTGCCCCCTGCTGATCTCGCCGAAAGAAACATCTTTTATCTTTATTATTTTTCAAATAAATCGAAAATAACCAAGATATTTTACTTCGAAAATTTAAAAATATATATTTTTGCTTAAATTTTGAGCACTACTCAATTTTTTCTGGGTTTTCTTCTATTTTTTTCTTCTAACTACCTATGTTGCCATATCAATATATTATGTTTTAAACTAAAAATTAAAAAAGTTACAAAGAACTACATTTTTAAATTTTGTCTGCCGCAAGAAAATCTTATAGACGTGTTTCTGGGTTCTAAATATATCTACTACCCCTATATAATGTAGAATATTTAGAAGGGGGGTTAATCACTGCGACCTTACAGATCTATTGTGTTCCCCTTTCTTGAGTTATAACCAGTTATAACTCATCATACAGTCTCAGGGCTTTGACAAATGCCAGTATCTGAGACGGCTTCACAGAGGCCAGCGCTCCATCTTCGACATCAGCCATACCAAAGTTTATGACGTGAACGGTTGTCATCTCGGCGCATTCATTGATAAGTTGTTCTGGTGTTTCTCCGTTTTCCCCACAGAATCTGCATTCTCCGTTCTTTCTTAGTTTCAATCTACTGAGGTGTTTGTTTACGCGTACAGTACCACAAATTAATGCAGCTCGTGAAAAGACTTGATATAGATCATAAAGACATCCAATGCATTGAGAAGTTATACTGGAACCAAACAGCACAAATAAAATTGTCCAATACAATGTCCAATCCCATACAAGTTAGAAGGGGGGTGCCACAGGGTTGCGTGTTGTCTCCACTCCTATTTAATTTATACTCAGAAGCTATTTTCCAAGAGGCTCTGGAGGACGAGGAAATGGGGGTCAAAATTAATGGAGTGTGGATTAATAATATCCGCTATGCCGACGATACGGTCTTAATTGCAGACAATATACACGACCTACAACAACTGGTCAACAAGGTAGGAGAACAGAGCAAAGCAATGGGTTTAAACATCAACATCAAGAAAACCAAATTTTTGATTATATCCAGAAACCCAGATATGTTTATAAACTCCATCCTAACATTTAACTCAAGGCCCATAGAAAGAGTAGATAAATTTAAGTACTTGGGCATTTGGCTCTCCGAAGATTGGACATCAGACAAGGAAATTAAATGTCGCATCGAACAAGCTCGGCAGGCATTCTTGAGGTTTCGAAAAGTACTTGTCTGTTCTGATTTTGACCTTAGTCTTAGATTAAGATTCGTAAAGTGTTATGTGTGGTCGGTGCTCCTTTATGGTATGGAAGGTTGAATATTAAATTGGAGGCTTTTGAGATGTGGCTATATCGCAGAATCTTGAAGATACCTTGGACGGCTAGATTGACAAATGAGGAAGTTCTCAGACGCGTTGACAAAGAGCGTGAATTATTTGAATTGATTAAAAAGAAAAAGACCGCATACCTGGGGCACATAATGCGAAACCCCAAATATCAATGCTTGCATTTGTTAGCCATAGAAGGCAAGATCGATGGCCGGAGGGGTATCGGAAGGAAGAAAATGTCTTGGCGGAGGAATATTACAGTGGACAGGGCTACTCGATGTTCAGTCGTTAATACACACCGCCCGGAACAGAGAAGCAATGGAAAATGTTATCGCAAACATCCATTAATGGATCTGCACTAGAAGAAGAAGAAGAGGTGTTTGTTTAGGAGACAGTGTTAGGCTGTGTCCCTGTTAGAAACATGGGGGACAATCGGAAGATTGTTCTTAGGCTTAAATCAAGGAAAATCTTTGATTTTTCTCGGTCATAAGTTCTGAGAAACTTTTTCGACTGTCTTAGACCGTTGGAGGATTCCCATTCCAGGTTATGAATGGAATGGGAATACCACTCCTAAAAATATTTACACTTATTTAAGACTCACTCTGTATAATTCCTATACACATAATTAAAAAGTGTTCCACTTATACTCATAGTTATTTACATTATTGTATTTAACCATGAAGATTCGTTAAGTATATGTTAACAATTAATTAATCATGCAATAGCGCGCGAGATGTATTAATGTAAATCGTAAATATTTTGCTCCACATTTGTGATAACCTTAATAGTTTATTGATAAAATTATTACACATTTCCTACATTCAGTAAATCTTAATTCATAACATTAGAATAGGCCCTGTAAAATCTACAGTGTTTTAATGTTTCCAGGATAGTGAATAATATTAGTAACTTTTTGGTATTAGCGTTTAGTGTCGTGTTTTAAAATGGCAAGGATTTTAATAAGAATCCTGGATGAGTCGCGTATATCAAATAGATAAATTATATGATATACTCATATATTCTTTCAATTAAAATATGGTATTGTCTTCGTCAAAATGAGTAAGTATATTAGATAATATATTTTTGATTTTAAAGATTTTTTATTATTAAATATTATTATGTCAATACAAAATTCCGACTTCAAAGTTCTTGCCACGGTATCAGATAATCTGATGGTCCAGCAATGATATCCTTCAGTAAGTTTCCGCGAATATACGGCTGGACCATCCGTCAAGCAACCAGTTTCTCAGAGCCTGTTTTTTATATGAAGATCTAATGGGTGGAGGCAAGTGGAGGCCTCGCATCAGGTAATAATCTGTAGGCGTCAATCTTAACGCTCGCGTAATGCACACGCATGTACTTTTTTGTTCTTTTCAAAGTTTGGAAAGATTGGTTGTCTTCTCCAAAGCTGATCATCATACCATAGATCCATATGTTAGGATTCGTCGTACTATATGGCAGTGTATATCCGTTTAGCCATACTTTATTAGAGCTCCCACTTCTTTCAATTTATCAGAACACATGACCTGAATTTACCCTTAACATCGCTGTCATCTTCTAGCTTATAACGCAAACTGTACTGCTGGCTATTAAGAATCTTTATTCTGGTGTCCATTTTTTATCATTACTTAGTTATCTATATCTATTTGTTGTGGTATTTACATGTTAAGTACAGTTTACATAAAAGTGTCACAATATTCTGTGTACACAGAAAATGATTCTACCGACTGGATATTTTTGGAATCAAAATAATTTCATTGGACACAATTTAATTCTATACAAAACTGCTGTGTCTGGCCGTTAGGGGATTAACTTTAAAAAAATAAAGACATTCTTTAAGATATTTTAAGAACCGATATTCCGATTTGAATGATATTTGGGGTGCCTAAGTTTTGCTCAGCGCTTTAACATTTGACTTTTGCAAAAATCAAGAAAAAGTACGGGAAGGGTGCAAAACGAGGGATGTCTCCCTAGGGTAAAAAATGTACACGTATTGCCAAAATGTCATTTTATACAAGACTGCTAGTGACTGCCGACGACTGCCAGTGACTGCCGACGACTGCCAGCGACTGCCAACGACTGCCGGCTCAGCGGTATCTTAAGTTCCGGGCCTTTGTCGACCCTTGACATATATTATTTATCAACACATGTACAGGGTGGGCCAAATTGGACGCTTTTAAAGGGAAACATCCTTTTCTGTAGGAGATAGACGAAAACTAATATCGGTGTCTGGAGCTTAATTTTTATCAAAAACATGACGATGAAAACCGCACATAGATATCTGTTATCGTTTCGGAATTACGGGATGTTTTTCAAAAAAGTGCATTTTTAACAAATCACTGTAACTTTTTTGCTATAGAAAATTTTGTATTTTCATGAAAACATTTCCAAAGCACCTTTATATGTAGAATTTAATGGTTTAAGAATATTTTTTTTAAAAATTAACAATTTAGGAATTATGAATAGGAAATTGTTTATATGGGACACCCTGTGTATTTTTAATTCATTGAAAAGAATTAAAAAAAAAGAATTTTGCTCGATTCCTCTTCTTTCGAGATATACAGTTTGTAAAAATTCGCCCACTTTGAATAAGTAGGCTTTGAACGGCGGAATAATATTTGCAATGAGAGATGCAGAATTTTATAACAATTTAAATCACATTTAACAACATTAACACATTTGAACTATATCTAATAACAATAAATATTAATATCAAACCAAGACCTGAGATTTTGGTTGTTCGATATGTCGACCGTCTTCTGTTATGGACAGACGGGGCCGTTTTTTTCTCGCGGAATTAATTAACTCATTGGGGATGAAAGATACCCTCGCATAAGTAGTTCTAATTCTTGCCTATATTATATATGGGCAATTTAAAAATAAGAACCTTATTTATTCTTCCGCAAAAATAAAAATCCATAGGAACTAAGTCCGCCGCGCCGGCCTCGATGTCCAACGGCTGGGGTCTTGGTTAGCTATTCAATTATTCTCGAAATTGGCTTCAAAAATTTGCTGATAACTTCAGCATTCAGAGGCGGAGCCTTGTCTCGCTGGAAAAATATATTTTCGTTTTCGATTTTTTCGAATATACAGGGTGTCCCAGAAATAAGTGCAAGTATTTTAAGGGGTGGTAAATCTCGATAAAAGAAACATATTTTCTCTTTTTCGTTTTTCAAATAAGTCCAAAATAACGGAGTTATTTTACTTTGAAAATTTCGAAAAAAACATGATTTTCTGCTAAAATTTTGAGAACCGCTGGATCTTCTCTGTTTTTTTTTTCTTGTAAATTTAATCTAATACCTATGTTGCTATATTATGAAGAAATTATGTTATTTAATTAAAAACTTAAAGAACATGTGCCATCTTTCGTGGGCAGATTCCTCACGTAAAAATAAGATTTATTTTTCATATCAACATAGGTCCGATCGAGGGTGAAAACTACCCCCACACCTATATAAATTTTGGTATAAATATTTTTCAACTCCACCTATGACCAATTTTTTTTCGTAAAATGATCCTTCTAGTATTTACAACATACTTTGTCTTGTGAAAAAAAAACACCACGTAAACTAGAGACTATAAAGTGTAATTGAAAGCATTCCACTAATTGCGAGGTTCTGAATGCAGCTTAAAGCTTCATTCAGAACCTCGAAATCAGTGGAATAAATTAATAGTTTTAATTAGCCGTAGAAGTTTGTTCACCTAGTTTTAATGTAAGCATTCAGAACGTCATATCTAGTGGTAGTAATTTTCAATTAGCGGAAAAAGTTAACAAGCTTTTGACTTTTCCACTGATTATACTTCAAAATTTGCGAGGAATGTCATTTTGGCCTTTGATTATCACCCGTCGAGAAAAATTTTGGTTAGAATCAAAAGTTTATTGTTTTATAAGCTAAATATTATGCTCTTTCTATGGATACAACAGACTACCGCAAGCTGTTGCTAGGATATTTTATTAATTTTAATTGTGTTTTTAGACATTGTGAACGATCGTAAACTAAAAAGTATGAAGTGTAATTGAAACCACTAATTTATTTCACTAATTGCGAGGTTCTGAATGCAGTTTAAGCTTCATAAATTTTAAATTAATTAATGTTTAGCTTAATTCAGAACCTCGCAATTAGTGGAAAAAATTAATCGTTTCAATTATACTTTATAATTTTTAGTTTACGATCATTGACAATGCCTAAAAAACACAATTAAAATTAAAAGAATATCCTAGCAACAGCTTGCGGTAGTCAGTGGTACCTATCCATAGAGAAAGCCAAATATTTAGCTCATTAAACAATAAACTTTTGATCTCTAACCACAATTTGTCTTGACGGAAGATAATCAAAGGCTAAAATGACATTCCTCGCCACTTTTGAAGTATAATTAGTGGAAATGTTAAAAGTTTGTTAACTTTTTCCACTAATTGAAGATTACTACCACTAATTTTGACGTTGTGAATATTAGAGGAATAAACTTCTACGCTAATTGAAACCATTGATTTATTCCACGAATTTTGAGGTTCTGAATGAATCTTTACATTGAAATTAAAGCAACAAACTTTTGCTCTAATTGAAACCACTAATTTATTCCATTCATTTTGACGTTCTGAATGAAGTTTTTTTGGGTTTATTTTTGAATGATGCCCTAACGGACGAACGAAGCACTTTTATATAAAGGTAAATCGTGACCAAATAACTTATTTGGTTTAAAAAAATATGTATTTTTTTTGTCCGCGGATTATTGGACCTCCCTGTATATTTCTTAGGTCTGTTTTGGAAAAAAGATGCCCAATTTTTTTTCTCCAAAACTATGCGATGTGGCGGTTTTTACAAGAGAAAAAATCTAGTAAAAATTATGAGGTCCATTTTTGCGGAAAAAAAATCACTGGTCGGCGGAGTAGGAACATAGGTCTACTAAAGCTTCTCTCCAAAAAATCCTTTATGGGTATTTCGCCACTGCAAGAAAATCTACAAAATAAAATAGTTATTTTTTGTAAACATTTCTGTATTAATCTCAAACGGAAACGAAGAAAAAGACGACGGAAAGAGATAAACTTTCCGAAACGTTAAGCATTTTTTTGTTCGTAAGGCAAATTTGTGTATTTGTAAACCTAACTTCTGACAAGTAGTTTCCGTTCGGGATTAACGCAGAGGTGTTTACAAAAAATAAGTATTTTATTTTGTAGATTTTCTTGCAGTGGCGAAATACCCATATAGGATTTTTTGGAGAGATGAATCCGCCACATAGGTATAGACATTTTTTACTAAAACTTATGTAGCGGAGGGGTAAAAGTCAAATGTTAAAGCGCTTAGCAAAACATAGGCACCCAAATATCGTTCAAATCGGAATATCGGTTCTTAAAATATTTTAAAAAATGTGTTTATTTTCTTATAGTTTGATATCCTTTAACACAGTGGCGGATACAGAGGGGGAGCCCCTGGGGTCCAGCCCCCCATATAATCTATAAATTGGGATATATATTTGGATTTTGGGTTAAAAATGGCACTCTAAAAAGCATATTCTACATTACTTTTTATTTGGTCCTCTCCAAAATAAATTCTTGTATCCGCCCCTGTTCTAACGGACAAATAAAGCACTTTTGTACAGATATAAATTGTGTCGAATAAACTTATTTTGATTCCAAAAAAAAAATAGTAGTTCTATGTCCACGGAATATTCGGACACCCTGTCTATACATTCTCGATTTTTTAATATTATACGTTTTTGTCAATGTTTGGCTTTGATTTGGTTATAAACTAATTTCATTCCATAAGCAAGAAAAATTGAGCTAACGGGATTATATAAATAGAATCCCCAAAACCGTCATTAAGTCACAGTCACAAGTATTAAAACTGTATATAATTCCATTACGACCATTACCATAGTATAACGTAACTAGTAGCGCCACTCACAATAAAGTGTATTCCTCCTGGCGACAAAATTTGGCAGATTGTTTGCAGTGTGTATAGCGTTTCAGTCAAGATCCGACATTCAAGCTGCGGGGTTCAACCCTTGCTTCCCAGAACAGAGTCGCATTACAAAAATTAAGTTCGTTACTGTGTGCTACC